AGCGTTTCACTGTTCTCAGTCCGAGTGGTGTAGAGTGGAGGCAAATGACTACAGTCAATAATAATGTCAATCTTCGTAAATAATTGATACTTATTTACTCTTATTATTATTGTAATACATAGAAAGAAAGAAAGAAAGAAAAGTTTTTATTATAGGTAATACAGATTAAACCAAGAAACAATAACTAACATAATAAAATTGCACATAACTAAGAAATTAAATTAGACATAAGTTATCATTTATGGTTAATTTGGATAATCTAGTGATGCCCACACTAGGCAATGCCTGTATCGTGGCCACCGATATTCAGATAGGTATATTCAGTCCACAAAATTACAAAACCCACACTCACGACTTTTTAGCATTTAACAATTATCAGTTACTCCGGTATACATATAATAAAAAAAAACAAAATAGAGCGTTGTTTCATCGATATAATATAAAGCTGTTTTACGAGTAGCTTATGACTTTCATGTTTTTTTTGTAACGAATTACATTCGACAGCAAAAAATCAGGTATCATGCACGATTTTGAATGTTGTGATATTATTGTTCTCAAATTGTAAGTAAAGAAGTCCAGTCAAACAGTAATTTTTAAAATACTTTTTTTTTATTTTTAATCTCTCCTTGTTTAAAAAAATTATATTTAATAGTCCATTATTAAATTGATCTTTTTGAAATAAATATAAAAAAAATTTTAGAATGTACGATAAAATATTCAAATCTCTAAAAGCATTGTCGAGTCAATGTCACTTGCGTCCCCTTAAGCTGTCAACGATCGTATCCAAATGTTGAGATTTTAGTATTTGTAACTTTGCGTTGAAATTGTTACCGCCTACATTATCAAATGGTTTGGCAACCGCATCGAATACTCTATATAATGTGCCAATTATGTAGAAAAACTTTGAGTATATATAGGATGTCCCAAAAGATTACGTACATAGGAAGGGGTATGATAGCGGTGGTCACAAGGATCACCAGAAAAATTAAATAAAAATTCCCCTCTGGGTATTAAAAAAAATAAATGGCATTTTTTAAAAACTTAAAAATTTTACACCTTCTGGGGCAATAATTAATAAATTAATATTATAATTAATTGGAATGGTAGTCGATTACATACACCACATGGCAGTAACCTTGTAAGCTTAGTCTAAGTGTTTAATTTTTTTCGTTTTTAGCGTTCACGCGATTCTTCTTATACTGGATAGTATTTGCGTTATACTGTGCGTGTTATTTGAATATATATATTTTAAATTTTAAGTTTCGAAGTCTTCAATAGAAGTATCTTAGATAGCGACACATGGTCTATCAAACTTTGTTAAGCGATCAAGTTCTAAAATGTAACGTACCAAAGTGCTTCTCAATAACAAACCAAACAGTAGGGCTGGTGTATTGTAAAATATTCATTTACTTAAAAGCATTTCCTAGTCGACGTCGCAGCACCAATTATAACATTGTCCTGATCGGGAACGGAAAATGTTTACTCAATTCTCATACAATGTCAAGTTAATAACATAAACGTAAAACCGTCTTTTTCGTTTTTAAAACATCGAATACTGAAATACGTAATATTTCGGTACCTAAAGTACTCAAAGTAAATTTCAATAAAGAAAACTAAATATTTGAACTTTGTACTCTACTGTGTTCGATTTATAAATATGACGGCGGAGGTGGGTTGCTGCTTGCAGAGGGGTTCATGGTGCACTTTTCAATCTTCAATTTACAATTATGATAACGTAGGTAACGCGCGATGGTTCAATGTCCGTTCCAGTCGGCAGCCACAGGAGAAGTGTTCTGCTGCCGTGCCTCGGCTGGTAAGGTGTTGACCCATCGAACGCCGACAGACGGCGCTGGCGTCACTTTCCGTAGTAAACTCAACTGCCGCAGTGGCGCTAGTGTTGCGTTGATTACGACACGGCCATCCTGCTTGCACACGTCCTCGTGTGATGGTTAACCTACAACAAAAAGAAACATCCACGAGAACCTCTGTTCCACTCGGTCACTCCTGACAACACTTTACTCTTTGTGGGAAAACTAAAAGTCATTAAAACTTTAAACTACTTCAATAACATTAACCAATCAGACAACACGCGATTGTTCACTATACATCAGCCAGAGCCATATACCACAGTCAGTCGTCGAACCATGAATTTACTCAGTACAACTATACACAGTTTGCTACTAATACACAAACCAGTTTAAAACTCCCGAGTAAGACATCTATCGCCACGGCCCTCCAGCCGAACAGCAATCACATTGCTCACACACAACCAGCGCATGGTTCAGAATCTGTACGCATATCCATCGAGTGGATCGCCCGTGTGTCACCCCGTGACCACACGATACGGTCTCTGCAGACCACGACCTCCGCCAGAGTTAATCGCGCACCGCGCACCCACGGACTACCTGAGTTGCCTCAGGAGACACCGATTTCTACCGGGCTACGACTACGAAATAACCACTGGTACGGTCGAACACAATACGGTCGATAGAGTCCCCTTACTCGAGTTTCCACAACAACTTAAACTTGCTAACTATCATTATTTGCATCAACCTTGACTGGTATATGACCTGCTGGCATCTTTCATAACCTATCGTGTACACATTTGTAAGTACGCCTTGAATTTAAAGCTTTCAATGTGTAACGGTCACCATCCAATACTTCAACTACTTTAAACGGCCCTTTAAACTTCAGATTTAATTTTGTTTGATTACACACTTCAGTTGCTAACAACGCAAAGTCACCGACCGAAAAGTTAACAATTTTTGCCTTTGTTTTGTCGAAACGAGATTTATCATACGCTGCACAGGTTTTTATATTTTCTAACACGTTTTCGCGAATCTCCTCAAGATCGTCGACATTAACCTCTGCGTCACCGCACATCATCGACAAAGTACTTGCCACCTTACCAATTAAAAGTTCTAAAGGCGAAGCTTTTGTCACACGGTTGATAGAATAATTTATAGCTACCGCTAAGCTTACCCGTCGCGTCTATGTGAATCATGAGCCGCGGAAATCAAAGGAAGTGGACAACGGTCCGGCACAGTGTTAATGTTAAGTTCGCGGTAATCG